CAAAAATTTATGAAAATAATCACTTTTCGCGCATATTTTAAACAAAAATTACCATAATAATAGAATTCTATTTTTGACATCAAGAACACATGTGTAGAAAAGCACGCAAATAAAAAAAACCACATAATAAACAGTCAACCGCGTGCGTTCTATTCCACCATTTCGCATTTTGCGTTTTCAATTGAAAAGAAAAAATCCTCGAGACTCATCGAATACTCATCGAATATCCATCGTGTTTTTTCTTCTTCATCTTATTTAACAATCATATAACCCTCATATGTATACGACCATTTGTCCTTTTTTTTGTGGGTGGCCTGCCCTTATTTCTATCATCGCCATTTTTTCCGCTTCTATTCAGCAGAAGAAGAAGAAGGGCTTTCGAGTGGTGACAAAATCGATGGAGCATCGAATCATACATAGATATTGCTTTCGGTGTCATCGACGCATTGTGTTTATTGTGCATGAAGCATAAGTTTTCTATATTGATGATTCCACAGAAAAAAAAAATGAAAAAAAAAAGAAAATTTTACTTTTAAAACTAACGCCATCTATGTTTAAACGGCTGAAAAGTAAACTATTTCTATACTGGACCTAATTTAACCTCACTTTACATTATTTTTATTTCCATCTACGATTTTAGCTTGAATAAAACCTTTCTAAAAGTAAAAACAACATTATCTTAGTTAAAACTAACGCCATCTATATTTAAATTATGGTAGTGCGAATTATTTCAATGCAGGATCTAATTTAACCTCACTTTTTATTATTTTTATATCCATCAACAATTTTACCTTTAAAAAACATTTTAAAACTAAAATAAATTATTTTAGCTACAACTAACGCCATCTACATTTAAGCGACTATAATATGAACTATATATCTATACAATACCAAATTTAACCTAACTTTTTACAACTGACATTTACATCGTCCATTTTAACTAAAATATGACCGAATAAAATGCAAAATTTATGCACGCGAATAAATTCTCTTTAGAAATCTTTCCTCGGCGTCATACACCGTGGAATATTAAACGAGTGACATCATAGCATCAAAATACAATACGGGTTTTATGCGTCCACAGTTTAGTCGGCCATCACTGTGCAAAAGCAAAACCACGATCAGTAAGCACCCAAGAGAGCCAAGCAAATAAATAAATAAATATTTCTACACTTTCAAACAAACCACCTAAAGTATCAATGCGTAAAAATTAATTTGTGTGATTTTACTCAGCAATGGATTACCTCCGAAAGTTAAAAAACAAAGTAAGTACAAATAAATATTTGCACAGTGTTAATTCCGCACTGAAAATTTTTTATTTGCGCACAGTTCACAAGTTCATAATCGTAATTTTGTAATTAGTTTATTACCGCGCAACAGTTTCACTCATTAATTCAAATTCTAACCGAGATAAAACCGTTGAGTATTTCACTTACTTACACGCGTGAACTCCGGAAAGTTTTGTGGAAGTCGTGTCGTAAAACGACGGAGCAACTGTCTTCCAAGTTGAAACTTGAAACTTTTGCGTTTTGTGTTGCTGCAAATTGCAATTCGTCGGCGTATGCAGATGACTTTTCTTTATATATCTTATTATAGTTATTTCTGTCGTTATTTTGTACATTAAGAGTATGTGCATGAGAAAAAAGAGAAATCTCCCATTGTCAGATGAGGAATAATAAAAATATGAAGGAAATTAAAAGCTAATTTTCATTCGGGATTGTTTGCGCGATATTAACTGATTTTATTATAATGAAAAGTTATAACTGTAATAAAGTTGTTAATTTTTTATGATGCGCGGATTAAATTTTGTTGAAAATAATCTTTTAATGGGCACTTTATCACCAGTGGAGGCAAATTGAATGCAGATTGGAACAATTATCAACAATGCATGATTAATAAAAATTAATGTGTGCACATTGTGAGATTGTGGAGATTTCAGGGAAAGTGCTTGAATTTATTGATTTTTTTTACTTTATCTGATAATTATGTCTCGTAATTTCAAGTGAACAAGTGAAATATTTTGTAGATATTGTAAAATATGTAATTGTGCACCGGGTACAATTAATTTTATGTTGGTAAGTGTGATAATTTCAGAGATAATTACATTTTAAATCAAAATATGCCCAAATTTTGCCGGAAAAATTCAAAAAACTTATTTTTTTATAGTTTTATGCAATATTCTCAAACAGTTTTGACTTTGTAAAGTAATAATTTACTTTATATTACAACAAATTTTGTGTTTTCATAAAAATACCGGTTGTAATCATTCAAATTCTCCGTTAATCGCATTTAAACAGATAATTAATATCTATTTAATCCTAAATGATAAAAAACATGTAAAAAAATATTACAAAACACAATCATTCATGTGTTGCAATAAATTTTATGTTGATAAATATTATAATTACCAAGATAATTGCTGTTAAAACCAAAATTTCGCTAAAAAATACGTAAAAACGATTTTTTTCAAATATTTATTGACTACACTCAATCAGTTTTATCTTAAAAAAAACCATAATTCGTTTCAAATGATAAAAAAATTGCGTATTTCATAAAAATACAGGATGTAATTATTAAAACTCTCCGTTAATCACATTTAAACAGATAATTAATATCAATTTAATCCTATATGATAAAAAACATACTTGCGCGACAGATCAAGTAATTTTTAAGATTGTTTACAATACTAAATCCTAATTGAAGATGAATTTGAAGCGATACTTAAACAAGATAAACAACATTCCGTCTCGATGAGCGTCATAGATGCCATTGAATCTATTGAGAAATACGAGTATGCGCAGACTATGCAACACACAAAACAATCTATTCTTACATTTTATGAGGATGATCGGTTCCAACGCCTGAGGACTCGTAAATAATAAAAAATAACGAATTAACACAAATGAAAATCAACGATGCTGGGATACACGCAGTCACTATTGTATTTTATGATCGTGACACATGCTGAGCGAAAGAAAAGACGCCATTTTATGACATAACCACACGTGACACACCAGCAGACAAAATATAGGAGAATATGAGTATGATATTTAAATGAAAGCAATGAAAGTGGATATAAGAATACAATATAATATTAGACAAATGTGTTGTACGCGTATACACCTGTCGGAAACTTATGTATTATGAGAATAAAATTTATTCAAATTGTTGATTGGTAAACAACAGTCACGCGTAGACAATTACAAGGTTATAGAGTTGTTGCTGTATTGCTGTAAGTTTGAAATCAATGATGATTTCATTTGATTACGTTTTTTTAAATGTTAAGAAATTTTTACTTTAAATGTGATTATCTCAAAAAGTATTAGAGTTATTAATTTGAAATTTGTTGTAGATATTTGTTGTTACATTGTTTAATAAATGGCCAAATATTTGAAATTTTGTATTAAAACTTTTCGAGTTATAAGCAAAAAACTAGAAAAAATCACATTTTTCATAATTTACACAAAATCCTATATTACATGAACTTTATGCTTAATTATCTCAGAAAGTATTTGAGTAATTAGTTTCATATTTGGTGTACTTGTTTGTTATCATATTATTTAACAACTGACAAAATATTTTAGCATTTGTATTAAAACTTTTTGAGTTATACGCAAAAAACTATCAATTTTTTAAAAAAATTTTTCAATTTACTGATAATTTTATGTAACTTCAACATTAAACGCAATTATCTTGTAGACAATTGCATCAATCAACTTAGATTTACTTGTACATATTGTTTAATACATTCACAAAAATTATTGAAGCATGATTTGCATGAAAAGTAAAATTCTTTGGCAACTAGGTCATAAACCAAACATAAAAGCACGAATATTGTGAAAAAAGCCTCTTAATGATTCGAAACGCAGTTGGTTGTAACCAAAGGAAGTTGTTATCGTGCAATCTTAATTTCTGAGCTGGCCTCCATGAATGACGTAACTAAGAAAATCATTATAACGTTTTTCTTTCATGGTTTGAGTCACAAATGCCAAAGCAACAGCGTAAATAATTTATTTAGTCATGAAAATGCACGAAAAGTCACACAACACTAAAATAATTCTCAAGGTTACACGCAGACACCAAAATACTTCATTGGCTTATATGGATAATCAAGAAAGTAAAATTCACGGTCAACAAGGTTGACTCACAGACTTAACGAGACAGAAAAAGAAGAATTTTTAATTAATGACGTCACATTAGTTGCTAGTAGAGGTTAGATTTTATAGGTTAGAATAGGTTAAGTTACAATTTCTCTGCGTAACAACAAAAAATATTTTCATTTTTAGCAATTATGAGCTAGAATATTTTTTTAAAGACATGACATTCATGGTAACATTTGAAATATTGTTGTAATTATGATCTCAACATCCCTACAAATTGCAATGCAAATTTCAATAACTTAAGCACGATTTTTCAGCTAATTTGTTGGGGTGCACGTTGCGTTACTAGAAAATCATTTAAACATAACACAAGTGAATACAACTGAGCTACGCGGAATTCATATTTAGACTTCAGGAAATATTTACCGGCATTTTTTCAAGAGTAATTGAGTTTATTACCAGCTTACAAAAGATTAAACAGTTGCCTATCCGCGTAAAATCCCAATATTTGGTTATTTTTTGCTCCTCAACACAACCTAACAATATCGCAATTTATAATTTTAGTGGTTAAAAAGTTGCATAACTCATTCAAAAATACATAAAAACTAAGTTTTTTGATGAAATAATTCTTAAAACGAGTGAATTTTAACTCAAAACTCAAATAAATCCAAAATTAGTTTATATTTTGTTCTTCAATATAATGACATCTCCTAATAACGCAATAAATATCATATAACAAAAAAAAATCAAATGAAAGTTCTGTTTTTGTTTCTCACTGTGATCTACAGTATAAACACACCGTGCACACCGTTGTTGTACCTGTACCCGTACTCTGTACCCCGGTGTACCCACCACGTTATATTTTATACTCTACTATCGCTTATATTATATGAGAATAATATCCAGCGCACGCTAGTGAATGTCGAGCTGTGTGCGCGTCTACGTCGGAGTACGCTCACGAACGCAATCGAAATAATACGAATACAATATCTGCCTGTATAGTTTTGTATTTTCTAGTTCAACTGCAAGTTGGTTGTGTGCGAGTACAAGTAGTGTGGTTGCCTACGCGACGCACGTAATAAACAAACAGTGTATGTGTATGCTCTGTGGCTACCAGCAAGGTTTTCTCTCCTTTGACTACTTTTGTGCGGTTAGTGGTAAGGTGACACATCGCGATGGACGTTGGCGAGCCGAGGACGACGATCGTTAGCATAATGCAAATCACATGTCGCGCGAATCGATACCAATATCAAAATCAACTTTAACTTTACGTTCAAATAATAATTGTGTATAAATTGTTTTGATTTAACAATAAAACCATAAAATGGGTAATAAGTTTTGTAAAAAACGTGTGGATCAGACAGACAGCGCTTCGGGATCGAAAACGCCGAAAACTTTTCATAAAATTATAAACAAACTCAACGTAAGTGATTTTTGAAAATATTTTTTAATATTTACATATGTTATCTTTAGAAATACGTGGATATTGGAATAGAATCACGAAAAATTTGGTTTTAATTAGTGAATTATCTATTTTTATGTTGCTATGTTGATATTTTTGGTTGGTTTTATGTTTATTATGTAATTTCAAGGATATTTTTGGATATTAACGAAAAGAAAAGTTTTTTTTTTCATTTTTTAAACGATTTTAGCAATTTTTTGCATTAAAATGTCAAATTTAGCGTCAATAGCACAAAAATGATTAATTTTACATGCAAATACTAATGAATTTAATTGTTTTATAATTTTTTTAATAGAAATAAAAATAAAAAAATATATTTTTTTAGTAAATTTAATAATAGTATTGAATAAACTAATTATTTATACAAATTTCAACATGAATAAATTGATAGCTTTCGCGAAAAACAGGTTTAAACTAAAAACAATCATTTTTTAATGTTTTTAATGCAAAAACTCATGAATTCTATTTTTACTCGTTTTAACTTTGCATATTATCATAAAAAACACTCGCGTAAATGGAATTTAGATGCTCCTATGGCACTAAACTCAAAATTAATTACATTGTTGTCCGCCTGAGTTGTCTGAGTCTGAAATTTCAACTCTGAGATTAGCAATGTTGAATGTTTATTGTTGAACAGAAGGTCACAGCCATTAGCGATGAATGTGATCACCGTGGTCACCGCTAATAAATGCACGCACACAGTGTGACGAGTGTGATTATGGTGACCATTGTGATGTCATAGTTTCCATAGTTTTCTTTTCGCGAAGCGCGCACGCTCGCCGGGCGCCATGTTTTTTTTCTGCGCCTGAGGAACTGTTACAAGTTCGTTTGTGTGTTTTTTTTCGGACGTTTTGCTTTGAGTCATGATTCGCATCGAGTGCTCGCTGATGGTCGGGTGTTTATTAAGGTTAGATTAAGGTTAAGCACGTTCGGTTTGATTTATTTTTAGCGGTGACGTAAATTGCGAATGCAAACATGTTGAAGAAAATGGTAATTAATTTAATTAACTGTGATGATTGCAGACGAATTTTATTTTGTTTTTATTTGGTTTTCATATAAAATAATTCAAGGTTATTTAAGAGAGTATTTAAGTTTTTTTTATTATTTACATATTATTGCGTTATAACGAGGTTTTGTAATATCGAGGAACAAAAAATAATCAAATATTTGAGTTTTAAGTTAAAATTCATACATTTTCTGAATTATTTCATAAAAAACCTAGTTTTTAAGTATTTTTGAACAAGTTATGCAACTTTTTAACCACGAAAATAATAAATTCCGTAATTACTAGGTTATGTTAGATCCAGGAGTAAAAAAATAACCAAATATTGGGATTTTACGCGGTTTGGCAACTGTTTAATCAGTTGTAAGCTGGTTATAAAATCAATTACTCTTGTAAAAATGCCGGTAAATATTTCCTGAAGTCTAAATATTAATTCCACGTCGCTCAGTTGTATTCACTTGTGTTATGTTTAAATGATTTTCTAGTAACGCAACGTGCACCCCAACAAATTAGCTGAAAAGTCGTGCTTAAGTTATAGAAATTTGCATTGCAATTTGTAGGGATGTTGGGATCATAAATACAACAATATTTCAAATGTTACCATCGATGTCATGTCTTTGAAAAAATATTTTAGCTCAAAATTGCTAACAATTGAAAATATTGTTGTTTCACCGAGCAAGTTGCTCAAATTTAATCGATATATCGAGTATATCGTTAAATCGAAGCTATACTATTTTATGTTTTATTAAAATATATTAATAAATTGTAATTCAATGAAATTTTACTAATTTTAACATTATTTTAAATTTCCCAGAAAGAAAATCTTTAATTCTTAAACAACATTCTATGACAATAACGAATGGAATGGTAAAAATGGCAAAATTGCAGCGTAAATAATCACACGCGATTGTTACAACAATAATAATCGCATACCGTGAAGAAAATGTGTAGGCAGTGTGCAGGCTGCACAATCACATTTCACTGTGCAAATGTGCAATAATTAATTATTATCAATTAATTTATAATTTTTATTGTTTCTATTCCCACGTAACTTTGAAAGTTGTTTGCAACGGTGTATAAATTTCTAAACACGTACATTAATCAATCAGCGAAATTATTTACATTACATCTTCGCGTCGAGTCGCGTCGTGTAATTGTCACAGCGGTATCTACCCCTAGATTTCAAAGTGACAGCCGCAATATTGGCGTGCAATAAATTGACGCGTTAAATGCGCGAGAATGTCTTCGATTTCACTTTGGGATGACGCTCGTAAACGCGTACAACTGCCGTTAATTCGCGCGCATAATTGATTTTGATTGGTATTCGGCGTGTCGGTTATGCGTGCGTGATTGATGTGGTATCAGATATGTTAATCTACCTGAAATAATTTGTGTATTTCTGATTTATTCTTATTTATCCTTACTAATATTGTTTTGAGCAGTGCGTTGAACTATGTGTGTTTTGAACTAAGTGTAGCAGTGGCGCTATCTAGCTTAGAGGGTTGTGATGAGGGTTGTTAAGTTTGTTACTTAGTATAAGTTTTTTATGTATTGCGTCGCCACTCGTACTTCCTGCGCGGCGCCATGATGGGCCGCTGAGAGGGAGTATGAGGGTGCAAATAAAAGGGCCAGCCGAGAGCATCTCGGTCTTGTTTCCATCGAATCGTCATCGTGAGTTATCTGTGAGTATTTTTGACCTTCAGTGCTTAGTAAATTGTGCGTGCCCGTATTTCTTGTGTTGTAATCTGTTCCGGACGCCATCTTGCTTAAGTTATACTCTGACTTCTTTGAACTTGCACTTGAAAATCTATTAAGTTAGATCTCGCGAACAAGTCCTTCGCGAGTTAAGTAACCATTGTTAAACAAACCGCGACAACCGCGTAAACAAATATTATAAATATTGTATGTTTGTGTCACTTTCAAGCAAAAACCACTCAACTAATTTTGATAAAATTTTGCTTAGAGATATTTTGGACATAGGAGAATAACATATGCTACTGCATGTCGCAAAAATATAACATACAGGGTGTGCAAAATAGTTTGCAAGTTTGTGCAACGAAAAGGATAAATGACGCTGACGCATGCAAAAAAATGTGATGAAAATGCCTATTGAAGATGACCGCCGGTATTTACTTATTGAATATTACACATATAAAATAAAGAAAAGCCATGCTTCTTCCAGGACCAACTATATGTAGCCTGTTCGCGTGTGTCCAATTCCCGAAATCTGCACGTATTTGCACCGGACGGAAGAAAATATCATAGTATATAGTAATATCTTAGAATATGCTTCTGTTTTAAGCTCTAATTGCGATATATTTGAATGTATCAATGTTTTTTTACATTTTGCACTATTTATTAAAATGCTAAAATACAGGTAATAAAAAAATTATGAACGCGGATAAAACCTAGTACGACCAATAATAAATACAAATATTTTTTAATATCTTGGATTATAAATCATGAAAGCATAATATTTACACTGTCAGAGTCACAGTCCCACCAATTTGCACGTTGTTGACTCAATCTCTTATCAAACTGAACCCTAGCCTGAGTTAACAATAAATTATATGTACGATAAGCATAAGTTCATGTAAACCGTTAAATATTTTACTTTATTGATGAATTTTTTTCAGAAAAAAATCCAAATTTTTTCTTATTTTTCGAGTTTTTCTTATTTATTTTTAAATTTTGGAAAAACGTGCGTGTTTTGCCTGTTGCGGGTGATAACTACGAGTATGGCAGTTGAAACATGTTGGCGATGCTGGCGAAAATTAATAGCCGCACGTTTCCCGCCGACTGCGGGTGATAAATATTTATCGCGAGCCGCGAACGTCTCGCAGACGCTGCGGATTTATGAAATCATTATCAACGCAAAACGGTGCCACAAATAATGAAACCGGGAGGCTGCGTAAATGGCAGCGGCAGGAATAAATGACGACTCGCAAACTGCTACTTTAAAAATATGCCTCTGCTTTCGTACAAACCGCGAGAGAAAAAATTACATTTTTGATTGTATACACATTCAGGTTCAATAAATGTCATTTTAAATTGATTTCATTTAGTTTTGCGATAAAGAATAAAATGAAACATAAAAAAACCTTATTAAAAAAAATATTTTTATGTATTTGCTAGTAATTCTTATTTTTTTGATATTTTACTTAATAATGTGTTATTTGGGTTGCATATAAATCGGAAAAATCAAAATTTTTAAAAAACTGGTCTTTTTTGTTATCAAAATTACAGAAAAAATTAATAATTGCTTATAAATGTGTGATTTTCTCATTTTAAATCGATTTAACGAAGTTTTGAGATTAAGACTTAATGTCAAATATGACATAACCTTACTTAGGAACTATTTATTCATTGTTTTGCCTTTATTTTTAATTTTTGCCAAAATTTTTATAAAAAAATGATAATTCTTAAACAACAGCTTTGATTTTTGTTAAAATAACCGAAAAAACTTAAATTTTTTCATTAAAAAGACCAATTTACCGCACATAACCTCAAAAATCCATTCAAAACAAATGATTTTATCATTTTAAATTGATTTAATGTAGTTTTGAGATTAAAGTAAAATGTCAAACATGACATAACCCTATTTAAGAGCTATTTATTCATTTTTTTAATCTTTATTCTTAATTTTTGTCAAAATTTTTATCAAAAAATCAAAATTTTTAAACAACACCTTAGATTTTTATTAAAATAACCTCAAAAAATCAATTTTCTCATCAAAAAGTCAAATTTTCCGCCCATAACCTCAAAAATCATTTCAAAAACCAAATTAAACCAATAATAACAATTTGCATGCTTACGAAATACATTGAATTCACCTCTCTATATTATAATTCTCGCCTCACGTAGGTATCGCAGCAATAAAATGAAACTACGCAGTAAATAATCAACAATCACCCATGTGCCTCTGCAATCAGCCTCATTTAACATTTCAACCTTTGTCACTGTAATAAATTAAGCGCCAAATACATTGTTGACTTCTGTAATGATTTCTAAATATTCCCGACTTAATGAGTAACGCATGCCATCGTAAATAGAGGAAGAAATAACTGCACAACAGTTACCATAACGATATAATTAATGTAAGTGTGGTACCTGCACACACCGGCACACTTCTTCAACTTCTTCTTCTGTGTGTTTATACACCTGCCATGCTTGGATTCACTTTGTTTGCAAATTACATTCTCCAAGCCATCTTCTATCCTTTTTATTATTAACATAAACTATATTATTAGATTATTAGATTAAGATTACGGTGCTCCCCGGAGGAATAAGAATAACATTAAGTTTTTACATTTTACGGTTTTTACGGTTACAATACCGTAAAGTGAATGTAAGGTTTAAATTTGCATTTGCAGCGTTATTACGCGTATTTTATTATCAATTTTCATGTCATGCGTGCGTCACATCTGCATCAGTGACATCAGCTTGGTCAGGTGTTCATTTCCTCCGCATCCGACGTTTCTCATTTTCAATCAGATTATTGCCTCGACAGCGCGTAGCGGATGTTAGTTATAGCGATTTATTTTTTCGAGGTTTTACGTGATTTGTTTGCACTCATTTTCGGTAATTCTTTGCGCTTTTATTTAAGGTGCCCCCGGCTGAATATTAATACCGGTCGTTTTGCGTTCCGTGTAAAATTATCTAAATAGCGACACTCTTGCGCTCCGGCTGGGTGGGCCCTGGTTAAGGCCGCGGCTAAATTGCCTCGATTTATCAAACGCATTCCCCGAGCGCGCCGAGCAACAATCAACAAGCATGTGGAAGTCCTGTGGTCTGTTAGACCCTTCAGAAAACATAAATATTTATATTTAGAAGAAAAAAAGAGAATTATGTTTAGGAAAATCGATATATGCAACCGAAATTACATTAAAAATAGAATTAATGATTTTTTGTTGTTAATCCCTACTAAAATATTATAAATGCAAAAGTCCTGATGTTTGTTACACTTTCACGCAAAAACTACTTAACCGATCATCATGAAAATTTGTACACATATTCTTAGTGGTCCCTGAATGGTTATAGGCTACTTTTTATTTAATAAAAAAATTATTTTTTAAATAAAATAAAGAAATTGTTTAGCCAATAATACCTCTGCATCTGGCTATTTGACTTCTTTAACGCCATCTAGCATTCCAGAAATAAAGCTCAAACCTAAGTACAATAGTACCATCAGACTGTATTATCACACTGTATTACCGACAGCTACGTCAACATCAAATCCAATTGACTACACTATGGAGACTGTACACTATACTTCCATAGACTATACTTTCAGCCATTTTAAACTTCCCGCCATTCTACTTCATTGTTACTTCTTCTGTGACTACAGACGCGTACGGAAACAACTTCATTATTTTAGATATTCGCGAGCGAAGCCGCGGGTTAAAGCTAGTAAGTAAATAAAAGCAACAATATTAATATTTTTTGTATTTTTGGTTTGTCTATGCCTTGAATAACAGAATAAATAAAGAAATATCAAAAATACCTTTAATATTGCAGAATTACTGAAGAAAAAAGATTTTTGTAGGTCAGTTTAAGTTGTTTTGACAGAATTGAAAGACTTGTGTACTCATTTGACAACTGACAAGTGACTGGTAGTTCCAAACGTGCCACCAGATGGCGCTTGTGACATAAAAAGCTAATTTAACACAATAAACTAACAGAAAACTGAAAAAATGCATTTTTTCTCACTAATGACAAAAATCATTCCAAATATCAAATTTCTTTGACCTTGAACCAATAAACCTACACCCCACTTGCCTTGATTACACCCAATTCACTATTAATAACAATATTGTATCTCCACCTCAGTGCACCAGCCAGTCTCTTGTTGTGTGGGTTGCATACAGTGGTTATGTGTGAGTTTGTGTTGTACTGGTCTAGGGGTGTCATTTCGCCCGCGTATCGAATTAGTGTGCCCATCACGTTCGCATTTCGCATTCTCGATTCGCGTGCGCTCGCCGATGACACGACTCGTATTTAAATTGGAAATAAAGGAAAAGCACCCGCAGCGTATGTATGCACGCACTCGGCCTACGCTACGCTACGCGCACAAGCCAGCCATGCTTGTATTGCTGTTTTCGGTGCGCGCGATGGCGGCGTATGTTTTCAATTTCGTTTATTTATTTTCGAACATGGCGCGAGCGCACGCCTTTGTTCGCATACGAAATGCAACACGTCGAAATTAGCTCACTGTTACAATGTTGTGTGAGTGTGTTGTTTTTTTTTTCAGTCAAACAGGTGCAGAGAAATTAGTTAATCAAATACGGAAATAAAAATTGCGACATTTTTGGATGGAATACAACTCAAAACTTAGACAATACATGGATTATTATAGTTTTTATCAGTTTGATAAGGAAGTAATTTATTAAATTGTGATTTAAGCTCAATTGTAAAAATTTTTTTCAATTTTTTTCAAATAAAACACAAAAAAAACTAAAAAAATTTAAAAAATTTTTCTTTAAAATTAAAAATTTTGTTAAAAATTACAATAATTTTGTTGTAAATATACTGCACCTTTCAAAAAACCACTTAAAATAATTCAAAATCCATGTCATTATTTTATCAGCGTTAGTATTGTGTGATAATTACCGAATCTTATCTCTGCGATAAAAGTACATCTACTTAGCACACTCACTTACTTAAGTTTCATCATCTCATTATAATTTATAATTATATTGTTAAATATCAAGCGTATCAATTAATGCGTATGGGCGCGGATGATTTTAGCAGGTTCGTTATTGTGTTTAATTATTCGTTGCGGAATTGCGGTTGGAAATTAAACACAATGCGAGCACGACGAACGAAATAATAATAATAATAATAAAAAAAAGGAAGCGCGCAACCGATTTGAACATCGCCATCAACTAACAAGCAATTTAAAATTTGCGCTCTGATTGTGTTCGTAGTTCAATTCAAGTCATGTTGTGTTTTTATTGCCTACTCATATCGCAAAGGGGACAGGTGATAAGTTATAGTTTGTAAAGTGACGATAGATGGCGCCAGTTATATCAAAGTGAAACGTATTTTCATTTAAATTGGCGAAAATGTGTTTCTTTGATGTTTTTGTGGTTATTTTGTTATTTAAATCAAAGTAAATAAAATAAATGAAATGTTTTGGATTTATTATTTAGTATTTTGTAGTTATTATCAGGAAAATACTAAAAAACATTGATTTATCACCGAATAAAAATGATTTCGTAGATAAGGTTATGTAGTTTGACAAAATTGACAGTCCTTTGTACGTACTCGTTTGAAAGCTCATTAAATACATTTTAACAAGCAATTTAAATATTTTGCTTTGATTTTGTTCGAAGTTCAATTCTAGTCAAATATTTTTATTACCTACAAGGAATAGTTGATCAAAAGTTTTAGTTTGCAATAAAAGTGTCAATAGATGGCGCTAGTATCTTAACCGATCATCATGAAAATTTGTACACAATATTCTAATAGGCTAAAATAATTATAAATTGATTGTTTTTAAATGTTTTACTACATATTTTGTTATATATAATAAACTGTATTAATTCAATAAATGAAATATTTTATCAAATTTTTCATTTTTCTTAAGTTTTTATCATCAAAACACATAAAAACGTTGATTTTTTAGGTTAATAATTAAATTATGTAATTTTTTTGTACTTTGTTGATAAAATTTATTAAATTATGCTTAATTATTAAACATTTGATGCACCTATGCGCCTAAATGAAACCATGAGCGTGATAAAACGCAATGTGCACAATCACCGATACGATACGAACGCAAATTACTAAATTCGCCCGAGTCCTCTTTAATACGACGCCATTGCGCGTGTGCTCTTACTTAATATTTATGTAAATTTTGCATTTAACATTCATTGAACTTATTATCAGCCGGTTTGCATCTACGGCGCACGCGGCAGCCGCCATCCGCCCGCCATTACCGCCGCCGCTCATATAACTATGACTCTCATTACTGTATTACACTGTATGAATATGCGCCATGGCCTATCACAACACAACGCAGTGGAATGTTTCCATTGCACCGTACCTATGGTATGGCATCTGTGGTCAAACGGCACTGATTTTATTTTTTGCTATCAAGGAAGAAGTTTCGTTCGGGGCGATCTGATTGTATGCATCGAATTTAATTTAAAATTTAACAGGTGCAGGTGCAGGCGAAATTAAAAATGGTGCGCGGAAGATAATTGAATTCGATAAACGTTGGAATAATTAGGTTGAAATGCAAACAGAAAGTTTTCGTAATAGGGGAAAAATTGGATTTTTAGAAAAACTTTTTAACTAGTTAACTAGAAATATGTTTTAATTAATATGTATAAAATTTCGTTTGTTTACATATTAATTTTTCTCATAGCATTACAGTTTGTCTGTGTAAAGACGAAAAATATTTTCATTTCCTGCAATTATGAGCTAGAATATTTTTTTAAAGACATGACATCGATGGTAACATTTGAAATATTTTTGTAATTATGATCCCAACATCCCTACATATTGCAATTCAAATTTCTATAACTTAAGCACGATTTTTCAGCTAATTTGTTGGGGTGCACGTTGCGTTACTAGAAAATCATTTAAACATAACACAAGTGAATACAACTGAGCGACGCGGAATTCATATTTAGACTTCAGGAAATATTTACCGACATTTTTACTAGAGTAATTGATTTTATAACCATCTTACAAATGATTAAACAGATACCAATCCAAGCAAAATCCAAATATTTGAGTATTTTTTTGTTTCTCGATGTAAAATCATGTAGAAATTATAGATTTACTAGATAAAAAATGATTTTTAGGACTAAATTAGTGAAAACAAAGTTCAAACGACATAAAATTCAATTGGATTGTCTACAGTTGTCATTTTTCCCAAGAAATGATCCAGGAAGTGACGTCAGAGCTCCATAATTCGCTTTGATTGATACTTATCTTAAGGATTTTAAAGTTTCGCAATTTTTTTACTTAGAAACAAATCATAACTCATGTCTCAATAAATAAATACGCAATTTATGTGATTTTTGTCTGATTTTTACTGCAATAATCACACGAATTAAAATATTAAACAGATTAGTGATTATTTAGTCACAAAAATAAGCTTCCGATTACTTGCGTAACGGAAATGACGACCTCATTGTGGATAACAAACAATCAGTAATGATACTGACCCAAAAACTCACGATTTATTCAAATTCGATTTATAACTAAACAACTGATAACAAAATTCCACTAATTTCTCACTAGATTCTGATAAAAACAATCCCTACTAATATTATAAATGCGAAAGTCCTGATGTTTGTTACACTTTCACGCAAAAACTACTTAACCGATCATCATGAAAATTTGAACACAAATTCTTAGTGGTCCCCGAATGGTTATAGGCTACTTTTTATTTAATAAAAAAATTATTTTTTAAATAAAATAAAGAAATTGTTTAGCCAATAATACCTCTGCATCTGGCTATTTGACTACTTTAACGCCATCTAGCATTCCAGCAATGAAGCTCAAACCTAAGTACTATAGTACCATCACACTGTATTATCACACTGTATTACCGACAGCTACGTCAACATCAAATCCAATTGACTACACTATGGAGACTGTACACTATACTTCCATAGACTATACTTTCAGCCATTTTCAACTTCCCGCCATTCTACTTCATTGTTACTTCTTCTGTGACTACAGACGCGTACGGAAACAACTTCATTATTTTAGATATTCGCGAGCAAAGCCGCGGGTTAAAGCTAGTTTTTTTATAAAGGTGTTGATTACTTTTGACTCTACAACCGATTTAATAAAACATTTCCAAATATTAATTATAATATAAATCCTCACACAACAATTTTGAACATTTTGTGTTCCAATATTTCATAGATCGTTATTAATTTGTGTTTATAACAATTCACAGTTGGTGGCATATCAATAATTTTAATTTAATTAATTTCGACCGCTTGTGCGCCGCCATCACAGTTCATCACCTGGTTTCGTTTGTTGTATTAATGCAATTGCATTTTAATTAATTGTAAATATTATTGCAGCGCATTGTTGCGCTACGCAGTGACTTCCTCCCGCTTTTCGCGGCGCGCATTATTATTCTCGATTGTAATGTACTTTTAATTAGTTTTCACTGATTGTGTCGACACCAATAAGTGGAAATAAATTAACGCTGCGTGTATGATATGCTATCGGACACGATTGTTGCTTATTTTCATTTATTTTTACTCATAGCAACCGCACGCTAAATCATAATTTATAAATGCGTACGGAAATAGAAATAGTTTGAGTGTTTAGAGTTTGAAAATAAACTGTCAGATACATATTGTTGATACAAGTGGTGGTGGTTTACATATTTTGAGGTTTAATTTTAGAAATTGGACAAGAAAACATTCAATTTGCGTTCAAAAATTTCGAATTTTGTTTAAAACTTACAGTTTGTAGAATTCTGCAGTTGTTTTACTGGATTTGAGATGATTTTTACTGGATTTAACGAGTTTTACTGAAGATTTTCACAGCGGAGCACTAGCACAACCTGCAGCTGCACGACGTTTTGTGCGCGCGTTCAGCAGTGCTGCCAACCTTGAAAACTCAAAAAATAAAATCGACACATTGGGTTGCCTATAGTGCAGATAATTCAAATTTAAAATTTTGTATTAATTTGAATATTATTATTTTTAAATAGAAATAATCCCAGTGAAACAATAAAAAACAAGTAATTTATAAATCTAGGTCAATATTTATAATATAAACCTCTGATAATAAAACTAAAACCCGAAAAAATGGATGTTGATGTTGTTGTTATTAATTTATAGCAATTTTAGTGTAGTTTGTTATGACCTACGACCGATTGGACTTCCATGAAACGCTCTTTAAAATAAATAGCACACAGCGATAAACCCAATATACAGAAATATTGCATAATTGAGTGTAAAATTACACTTTTAATCGCATTCTTCTAAACGGCAGATAAAACGATGCGATAAAAATGATTAAAGCAATAAATATAAATTTCACAATTTTATTTACAAACAATAAAAGAAGCGAATTAACTCGACGATATAAATTACACATTATGTCATTCATAATATGAATTTCCCCCAGCACATTTTGCAATTAAATATTTGCAACAATAGAAACGCGTTTTATTTCCAAAGTGCTTTTGTTTCTTTGTGCGAATGTTTTACGCAACCGTGTGTTATACTAAAACAATTAAATTGAAATAGGTTTTTACTTTTTTTTCTGTGTTGTTTAACTTTCAATGCAATTTTAGAGTAAATTTTGTATATTTTGTTACAGTTGCGGCCGAAATGGAAATCCGATTCGAATTTGGACGACAAACAAATCAACAGGTAATGTTTTTTGATTACATCACCACCGGAAGACAAACAAACATTAATTACACCGAATTAAATGTAGTTTAATGACGTCATCATGTAATAACAATAATTGTTATTATTCTATCATTATTTCCTCGGTGGATGACATTAAAACAAATGTTTAGATCTTTCTTACGAGTTGTAATAATTCAGTAAATGTAGTAATTAAACTTGAAGATTGGTTAGGTGTATATTGGGTTGCCTAATGTGTGGATTTATTACACACGTGTGTTTTTTAGTTTTTTTCGGTGAATACTCACAGGGATTGTGTTTTTAATGCACTTTTTTCGTATTTTATGTTTTATCATCATTCGAAATGCGTGCATTTTCGTCGCGCGTCTTTTGGGAGCGCAAACACACGAAACGCTGAGCGAAATCATTACCGCTGCTCCCTCGCCATCCGAAAGGGTCGTTCCAGGACTTCCAGGGGATGCGCGCACACTTATTGAAGTTTATTACCTTTTTCACTTTTTAATACATCCACGCGGTGCTTTTCATAAAACGTCCTTATATTAAATCTAATGGAAACTCAATTAAAACATTAAAAACTTGCGAGTAATATATTATTGTTATAAACCCCTAACAAAAGGGTTAATTTTATTATAAATCCACACACATACTGGCATTAATTTAATTTTATATGATTTATAACAATCCGGAACAAAAACAAAGTTTTAGATTAGTTTCAAACTAGATTTTCATGCAATTGTTAAAATTTATTTATTTTTATGTTTTTAGTGATCCAATATCAACAATAGAAGTGGAAAGTTACTCAAAACCATTGAGCAGATCAACAGATTGGACCGACTGCGCCCTGGAAGCACCCTCATCACCGGAACCCCGCAAAGAAAGCGCAGAAAGCAAAAAATCTATATTTAACGATGACACTACCCCCACTCCACCTCCAAGACAAATGAAACTCGTCCGGAGATCACTGCTGGATACAGTCAAAGATGCCTTCAAGACATCCACACCCAACTATCACAACAACAACGAAGAGGAAATCGAGGAGCAGATAATGGTTAAGAAAACAATCAACTACAACTGCCCTTGTGGGGGTGACCACACCAGAGCCCAACATGAAAAACACACAAGCGTCAAAGAACGTGCATTCACCCCGAATGCAAATCAAAAACGCTCAAAGTCCATCCTGGTCACATCCTCAAACAACTCACTACCGAATTACAGTGACTTCCGGTTGAGTCTACCAATACGTCCCTCGGATACTGACAGTCATCATTCTGCTTTGAGTCTACCGGATGAATCAGCAAAGAAGAATGGACCACGCAGGTCCATCACAACTGACCTTGACGCGTATCTTTCAAGGGCAAAGAGTATAGGATCATTAATCCCATCAGTCCTTCAGAAATTATCCACGAATAAAGCTCCTTTAGCGGAAATAGAAAGTGATGACTCGCTGAATTCAATCAACAGTACAGAGAATATGGATAACTGGAATGGTCTCAACATGTTGGAGCATTATGAACCCAGAGAGTCAAGTTTACCAAGACCCAGTAGAAAAACAGAAACTGAGATGGTTGCAGATTTAGAAAATATGATGGTAACTGAAGAGGAAGCTGTCAGGGTTGAAGAGGAAGCAAAAATACAGAAACCTACACCTCCGAAACCACCAGCAAGGAAATCAGAGACAATGTTGAAGAAAATGCATAAAGATATCAAGTCTTCCAACCGTACACCTCCTTCAACTCCAGAGGAACAAAATAAAAGAATGTCGCAGACAATCGAACAAAGTTTGAGGGATAATGACAGTGATCACAGTCCACTGATGAAGATTTTGAATAATTTTGGTGCTGATCAACTGGAGGCTAAGATGAATCGCAGTAATTTAAGTCCTGTACATACTTATATTGGGTCAGGGGGTGGTGGTGGTGAAAAGAAGCAAAAGATCAATGAGTTTTTAGCTGCTGAGAGGGAGAATGATGATTTGTACAAAGAACGGATTGCAGCATAAGAGAATGTGTGGTTAAGTGTATGTTGGGTTGCAGCGTAGCAGGCGTAATGTAAAGTAAATTATTTTTATGTTTTACTAAAAATTTGGATTATTTTATGTGTGTAATGAGATTAATCTGTTGATTGTTGTAAAGTTGTACAAAAATATAATTTATAAATATATTATTGTTTAATATTTGAGATAGTTTTGTGGAAAATGCATGAATGCGTGATTTATTGAATGTTTTGAGGTTATTTTATGAAAATTTATTTATTTTTGTCTTTATTTGTGTTTAAATCATTTTCTATTCTTGGAAATCCATTGAATGCCCTGTTTTTTACTTGTTTTTATTTCAGTCTTCGTATATCATGAATGCAACAGTCTGTAAACAGTTAAACTTGAACACCTCGCATTCACGCGCATATCTCGGAAGCAGCCAGCCGTCTTGGAAGGAACACCGTCGTTACAATCCAACAAAAGCTGAATAATCGCAGCCTCCGAGCGAGAGAAGTGTTGCGCTGGTATGTATAGTGCATCCTGCGCATCCTGCACATTCCTACCTCATCAACAAGGCGCGCAACAAAATAATATCAGTATGAATATGAATATGAACATAATAGCGCGGTGCGCGGCAAGTTGTTGTTGTTGCAGCGGTGGCAAACACACAATGCACAATGGAGTGTTGTTAGAAATGTAAATGCATTTGATTAAGACGCAAAAACGCAAGTGCAACAACAAGTTGAAGTAAATTGAAGAAGGTAAAAAGGTGAATGCAATTTTATGCAGATTTTCATATTTTAGACAATATAATTTAGTATAAGTGAATTTACAGTCGTCAGGAGTCAATATTGTTGGTTATGTTAAACGTCATAACCTTAAAAACAAATATTTATGCAAAACTAGTTTTAACCAGTGGCTTTGCTCGCAAATAAAATAATGAAGTTGCTTCCGTACGCGTCTGTAGTCACTGAAGAAGTAACAATGAAGTAGAATGGCGGGAAGTTTAAAATGGCTGAAAGTATAGTCTATGGAAGTATAGTGTACAGTCTCCATAGTGTAGTCAATTGGATTTGATGTTGACGTAGCTGTCGGTAATACAGTGTGATAATACAGTGTGATGGTACTATAGTACTTAGGTTTGAGCTTCATTGCTGGAATGCTAGATGGCGTTAAAGTAGTCAAATAGCCAGATGCAGAGGTATTATTGGCTAAACTATTTCTTTAATTTATTTAAAAAATAATTTTTTTTATTAAATAAAAAGTAGCGTATAACCATTCGGGGACCACTAAGAATATGTGTACAAATTTTCATGATGATCGGTTAAGTAGTTTTTGCGTGAAAGTGTAACAAACATCAGGACTTACGCATTTATAATATTAGTAGGGATGTTTGTTTTTATTCTGTTGTAGGCAACTCTTTATACAAAAACATATTTTTTTTAGTTTTTCTTTGATTTATTTAGTTTTAAGTTAAAATTCACACGTTTTTTGAATTTTTTCATCAAAAAACTTAGTTTTTATGTATTTCTGAACATGTTAGGCAACTTTTTAATCAAATTTTACTAATTTCATCGATTATATAAAGTTTTTTGTTAATAAATATAACTTTAAAACAAAATTTTGCTGTTTATAACAACTTTTCACTTGAGTTATTTATAAATTTGTTTCAAAAACCTTTGAAAACCGAAACAAAGTGTTTAATAGCACTACCAACGTCCATTTTGCGCATTGACAGCAACATCTAGCGCTCGAAAGTTTTGAATCCGTAATGAATGCAACCCGTTTGGCGTGCCAAGTCAAGAAACGACCACCGCACGCCGCCCCCGATGAAAATAAGCGAGTTATTAAAGCGTGCGTGTACGGAAAACACCCCTGCGGGTTCGCTCTCACCCGCACGAAATGGCGGCAATCAAAAGTGTCGTTCCGTTGCGTCTCGGTGTCATCGTCTCAGCCCACAGTCCAACACGAGCACAATTTGCATATTCGCACTCGGCGCATTTGTACTTGTACTCTCCATCTCCAACTGCAGGCTTCGTCGTCGTCGGACGTTCAAAAACGTTTGTAATTGTCGAAAATTATGCAAGTTAGACCTAGTTACTTTCTTGCTGCGCGCACTTAACACTGGCGCACACAGAGAATTCATAATTAATGAACGAGCCGCGTTTGCGACAAGCGTCGGAATGGTGGAAATAAGAAAGTGGTCTTAATTTACATAACATTCGGTCGGAAAACAAAAACGAATGGAAAAAATTAAAGACGAAGGAGTGGTGCGCTGATTTCAGCGCTTTATTGTAATTTCGACGTGGCAGGAATCCCGGAAAACGAGCAAAATGTGCGCTGGGAATGTGAGAATGTAATTTCTGATGGCATGATGGTGCAATTTCGAAATTTGAATTTGCCATTTGTGCCATGTTACGGCGACGTCACTAATATACAATGTGTTTTGAATAAAAGTTTTGAAAATTAGAAAAATTATGCAATATATTTGAATGTTGTTGATATGAAGGGTAACTAATTATTTAAATAATAAATATTATTTTGAACATGATGTAGATAGTTAATAGAGTTGTGTGCTCCGCGAAGCGACGCTAATTTGGACAGCTGGTCTCTGCGCGCGGACGACCAATGCATTTAAATGTTACATTTGCCACATTCGGCATCGCTATCACATTTCACATACAAACCACACTTGAGACAAGATAACAGAGATAATAATACATCTCAGTTGCAATTGCATGCATTTTTTGCGCTTCTTTTGGTCTTTATCTGCATAATATCCAATTACTGAGGAAGTATATTGTGTATTTATGGTCTTAGTATAGAAAACAAAACATTTTTTATTTATTAAATATAAAATAAATGATTTAAACAATAAAAAGTAAATATTTTTAGATGAAATCAATTTTAGTTGTTTATTTTCGCCACAGGTGGCGCTACAATGCATTTACTTTTATAATCCCTACTAATCCCTAATAATATTAGAAATGCGAAAGTTCTGATGTTTGTTACACTTTCACGCAAAAACAACTTAACCGATCATCATGAAAATTTGTACACATATTCTTAGTGGTCCCTGAATGGTTATAACCTACTTTTTATTTAATAAAAAAAATTATTTTTTAAATAAAATAAAGAAATTGTTTAGCCAATAATACCTCTGCATCTGGCTATTTGACTACTTTAACGCCATCTAGCATTCCAGCAATGAAGCTCAAACCTAAGTACTATAGTACCATCACACTGTATTATCACACTGTATTACCGACAGCTACGTCAACATCAAATCCAATTGACTACACTATGGAGACTGTACACTATACTTCCATAGACTATACTTTCAGCCATTTTAAACTTCCCGCCATTCTACTTCATTGTTACTTCTTCTGTGCCTTCAGACGCGTACCGAAGCAACTTCATTATTTTAAAGCTAGTAAATTCATATAAAAATTGTATTTCTTGAGATTTTGTTTACCGATTCAAAATAAAAATTAAATAAAATAGAATTTGTATTTTATAAAGAGTGTAAAATAAATGTTCAGTTTCGTGCGTTTTGTGTCGTTTTGTATCGTTTCTTATCTCGTTTGCAATGCACAATCGCACACAAAATCAAAACAAGTTCTTGATAGACACACGAACGAATTCACATTTTATTGAAACATCAAACCATACGAAACAGTGCAAACTGGACTTGTGAATATTGAATCTACGAACGTGTTTGTTGTGTTTTCTTATCTCGCTGCATTCCGCACAAGAGATAAGAACGCTGTGCGAGCTCAAACAAGTCGCTTACCTGCAGTCGAGTGCGTGAATCGGTTCGCGTAGGTTGTGCGTATCGCAGTGCAAAGAATTTCGATTTTATAAATTCTTAAGACAATTAACAATCAACGCAGATCTTCATTCCAGTGTGTTCCAGTCCAATTCAATCCAGAGGTAAGTGAAAATTACTTATTTACATGTCTGCATTTATAATACGCGTTGAAATTATGAACAAATTGAATATATTTATTATATTTTTCTTTAATAACTGTATAACATTCTTTACTTACACTTTTTGTATTGAAAGTTTGACTAAACCGCACTATATGCAACCAGATGTATCGGTTGTATTTACTGAGTTGGCCGAGGTTGGCAGCACTGTTGAACCGCGTGAACAAAGGTCGTGCAGGTTGTGTTAGTGCTCCGCTCTGAAAATCTGCAGTTAAACTTGTTAAATCCAGTAAAAATCATCTCAAACATAGTAAAACAACTGCTGAACCCTGTCAACTGTAAGTTACAACTATTTATTTCTTGCAAATCATCCGAAAATTAAGTTTTTCTTGAAAATTTCTCAAGTTGCAAAACCAAACGTTAAAAACGTGAAAAACCGTCATGGTAGGCAACACATCATACACAATACAACCCAACTTTACTTGTATTAAAACACTAACCTCCGCTCTGAAAATCAACAGTAACACTCGTTAAATCCAGTAAAAATCATCTTAAACACAATAAAACAACTGCAGAACCCTCTCAACTGTAAGTTACAACTATTTATCTCATCTAAATCATCTAATTAAACAAATTACTACAACTAAAATACTCTCACTGAAAAAACACCGTTGAAAAGTTTTCAAGTCAGACTTCATTCGCTCACCTTTTGACTTAATCGCGTTGTAAGTATTCCCGTGAGGCCAATACGCCACCAACGAAAGTATATATAACCTTGGTGTAGGTGTATCCATGCTTCTACATGAATATTTTAAGAAATGGCCTACGATTACTTAAAGGCTTTAATGTTACCAAAGTAAAAGGGTATCTCACAGTATCTTCTCTTACTCGTAGTTAATATAGTTGAGGGTAAAATGTAGATGTTAATATATAGGCAACCAAATACACTCATTCATTTTTGGTTGCCAGGGAAGTATCCAATCGACATTGTCATAATAAAGACAAATTAGGTGCGTTACATGAAAAATGTTATGTGGAGCGTGATAGATTGTTAAATGATGAAATTAGGCGGTGCTAGTGGTAAGAAAAAAACGACGCGCATCTTAGAAAACCGGAAGAACAGAAAGATGGAAGCCATGGAGTCGATAAAGAAAGAAAGAAGTCGAACGTTAAGCATTACAGATCCGTATTTAATAATAATTTATATAAAAACTAACAAAAAATTAAAATATTTTTGGTTTAATTTTATAAATCAGTTTAAATTTAAT